CAGCGACCCGGACGCTTGCCGGGAGTGAGGACGCGTGGCGCCTTGCGCACAGGTCACCACAGTCTCATAAAATGCAGCAGGAAACCGAGGCTTCTCCTGGCCCGGCAGCGACTCCGTGAGTCTCTTCCCACGCGTGACGGCCGGTACCGCAGTTACCACGTCTCCCCCCATGCAGGGCTCCTCGGGTGGGAGAGATGCCTGCTTCCCTGTCCCAGAAGTGCTGACCTGCACGGCCCTGTCCAGAAACCCCTGAGCAGAGCCTGGCCCTTGTCTGTTAGTCCCCGACTGCAGCCTGTTTTCATTAGAAAAGTGACATAGAACATTCTAGAAGCTGCATTTGCATATCATTCATAAGGCTGCTCAGAGTTTATTCGCTGCAGGATGATGCTTGCGAGACAGGGACGCCTCCCAAAAGCCCGCCGTGGGCTGACGGCCAGTCGGGGCTCCTGTGTCTCGTTGCATCCCGCACACCCTGGGGCTCGAAGTGTGCAGAAGGGAGCGGCCGCTTCCTCCCGATGGCTCACCTGCACGGGCTCCCGCTGGTCCTGTGGTCACCATGCGCTCCCTAGGCCGAGGACGCTACACTCCAGTGGCCACAGGGAAAGGAGAAACAGCGGATGTGAGTGGGAGCCAGCACTCACGCGAGTGCCGCGGCCTGGGGCCGCGACGGCGGCCATGGCTTCCAGGAAGGCCGGGCGGAGCTGTGCTGGCTCCGTTGGCCTCTCGGGCCGGGGCAGCGGTTTGCTCTCGTTTCCCTCGTGCCTGCAGGCAGGTGAATGAAGTCTCTGGCTTTAAACTGGAAGATGCTGCTGCTTGAATCCAACTCAGTACTGTGTGTGTTGAAGACGCACAGATGGACAAAAACACGTGCTCATCGATGTCTTGATAACAAAACGCAATGAGTGGGACCTGTGTGGTGGCACAGTGGGTTAAGCTGCAGCCTATGACACCGGCACCCCACATGAGCACTGGTTCAAGTCCTGGCTGCTCCTCTTCTGATCCAGCTCCCTGGTGATGCATCTGGGAAAGCAGCGGAGGATGGCTCGAGTGCTAGGGACCTTGCACCCACGTGGAAGACCAGGATGAAATTCCAGGCTCCTGGTTTTGGCCCGGCCCAACTCTGCCATTGCAGCCATTTGGGGGAGTGAACCAGCGGATAGAAGATTCTCTCTCTCTCTCTCTCTCTCTGAATAAATGAAATGAATCTTCAAAGAAAAAAAGAGTGGGGCCAGCACTGTGACCTAGTAGGTTAAGCTTCTACCTGTAGCACCCAGCATGCCACGTGGGCGCTGATTCAAATCCTGGCTGCCCCACTTCTGATCCAGCTCTCTGCTATGCGCTGGGAAAGCAGTGGAGGGTGGCCCAAGTGCTTGGGCCCTGTACCCACGTGGGAGACCTGGAAGCAGCTCCTGGCTCCTGGCTTTGGATCAGCCCAGCTCCAGGGTTGCATTTGGGGAGCCATTTGGGGAATGAACCAGCAGGTAGAAGACCTCTCTCTGTGTCTCCCTCTCTCTGTCTGCAACTCTGCCTCTCAAATAAACATGTAAAAAAAAAAAAGTGAACTTTGAACTGTTCAATGATTCCTTTATGAATTACTTATAAGATTTCTCTACATTTGAAGCAATGTTTAGGTATTATTATTTCATTAAATTCCATGGCAATTTAAAGATCCCATTTATAATTTTAAATGACAATAGGATTGCAATTAACTTAAAAGAACTTATAAATTACAAAAAGAAAATGCCATTAATAATTTACCCAAAAAATGAGCAAATAAATATTTTGTGTAGTCCCTGGCAGGTGGTAAGCCCTCAGTACGTGGTCATTCCTAAAAGGAAGGTGACCAAGCAGCTAAGAGAGCGGTGTGAGCTACACTGGTGTACCGCAGAAGGGGAGGCAGCTCTAAGAGCGGAGAAACGTTTCTTCCATTCACTTCTGAGCTTACTGGTCCTGTACCTTCTCTCTCATCTCTGAATTTATAAATTCCATTTGTCCTTTAAAGTCCCAGGTCACATTCCGCCTCCCCCACACAGCCTTCCCGACTGCCTGAGCTCGAGTGATCACCTCCTTTGATTTTGCTTTTTTTGTGTCACGTCTGCCTCAACGTCACAGTTATTTGTGTGGCTGTGTTATCTACCTGAAAGAGCAGGACCCTGCCTTCTCCATCCTATTGAAAGACAAGTGACGTTGAAAGGCAGAGAGAGAGAGAGAGAGAGAGAGAGAGAGAAGTCTTCCACCTGCTGGTTCACTCCCCAAGTGGCCACAACAGCCAGGGATTGTCCTGGCCAAAACCACGAGCCAGAAAGTGCGTGCGGTCTCCAACGTGGGTGCAGGGGCCCAGGCGCTTGGGCCGTCTCCCGCTGCTTTCCCAGGCCATTAGGGAGCTGGATGGGAAGCAGAGCGGCCAGGACTCAAACCAGCGCTCCAGTTTGGATGTGGGTGACACAGAGACTTAGCCCACCGCACCACAGCGCCGGCCCTCTTGTCCATTTTAAATCTCTGCGTATGCCCGGCCCGGAGTGTTGCACGTGGACTCCAGCTACAGGAGGGAGAGGCCACCAGCCCAGAAACTCTGCTACGTAGGGGCCTATGAGCAGGGTCAGGAACTCCTCGACAGATGTCCACTTGTTTTCCTCGGTGGGAGGGGAGAACGGAAGTGTGGGATTGGATTTGTCAGCAGCGCGTTCCAGGGATGCGTGCTTTGACTGCAAGTGACTGTTCTTTGCCAGTTATCACATTCTAGGTTTGGAGGTTTCTTTTTCTTTTCTTGTCTTCTTTTTGGGAGGTGTGGAAGAGAAAGGGTAAAGAATGAGGGGAAGAAAGCCTTGCTTTTTGTAAACTCAGGTAGGAGTTAGGGATAACTCCCAAGTACCCACACAAATGAAAATGATTAAATTTGCTACTCCAGAAAAAAAATTTTAATCCCAAAGTCATTTATTTTGGCTTTAGAATAGACTAACATTTGTGCCGGATTTTCCTGCCTAATTACTTTTTGCTTAAGCTTATTTTAAAATTGTGTTAAATTCCTTTAGCCGACAGCCTAGGGAGGTGGGGGTGGGGAGACGGCCCACAGATGGGGTCGGGACTGGGATCTCGCGTTCCTCCACCAAAGACCCAAAGTCCCACTGCTCCTCGCAGAGCCCAGCGGGGTCAGCTTCCCGGAGAACAAGTTGGCAGAATGTTCTCTAAAGTCTTAAAAATATGCTTGCTCTTTGATCTAGTAATTCCCCTCCCAGGAACGTGTCCTAAGGCAGTGACCAAACAAGCCTGCAGACGCGCGGGGACAGCGATGTGCCCCGCCCGGCCACTGGAGTGAGGTGGGACGCGCCGAAGCCTTAGACACCTCCGCACGGCTCTCCAAGTGAACCTGAGGCTTGGAGTTGTAGGTGCAGTCTGAAATAGCGCATCGAGGGTGGACAGGCAGACAGGGACGCCGGGTCCCGCACGTGGATAAGTGGGGGAGTGATGGCTGGTTTTGTACTTGGCTGTGTTTTCCAAGGCTTCTGCTGGAGCCTGCGTTGCTCTGTCGTTAGAAGCAGCAGCTGTGTTTACTCCATCCGTGAAAACGTGAAGTGTCGCTCGCCGTGGCCCAGAGCTGGGCTACAGCCACGCTGCACACACTCACGCTGTTTCCCACGCCGCCGCCCTCGGTGAAAGTCTGCCACAACAGCCCCGCGGGTGGCCTCTGCCCCTCCACGGCTACAAAGCCACAAAGACCACAGATTTTCAGTCAATTACATGTCGAAAAATTCGAGTGACAGAATACTGGAAACATTTTAAATCATTTTTGAGCTTCTGAAAGCAATTCCCAATGAGATTTTTCACTGTTCCCCCCTTCCGTATATCCTCATTGTCCTCAACTCAGAATCCCAAGTCCAGAGATCTGAACGGAGAACGAGAGAGGGACAGCAGTCCCCAGCTATCCCCCACCGTGCCCCACTGTCCCCAGCTGTCCCCCGCCATGCCCCTGTCTCCCGCTGTCCCCCGACGTGCCCCACCGTGCCCCACCGTGCCCCGCTGTCTCCCCCTGTCCCCAGCTGTCCCTCGCCATGCCCCCCCGCCTCCCGCTGTCTCCTGCTGTCCCCCGCCATGCCCCCCTGTCTCCTGCTGTCCCCCGACGTGCCCCACCGTGCCACACTGTCTCCTGCTGTCCCCCGATGTGCCCCACCATGCCCTGCTGTCTCCTGCTGTCCCCCGACGTGCCCCACCGTGCCCCGCTGACTCCCACTGACTCCTGCTGTCTCCCACCGTGCCCCACTGTCCCCAGCTGTCTCCTGCTGTCCCCCAACGTGCCCCACCATGCCCCACTGTCTCCCACTGACTCCTGCTGTCTCCCACCGTGCCCCGCTGTCCCCCGCCATGCCCCCGTCTCCCCCTGTCCCCAGCTGTCCCCCGCCATGCTCCCTGTCTCCCGCTGTCTCCTGCTGTCCCCCAACGTGCCCCACCGTGCCCCGCTGTCTCCCACTGTCTCCCATCATGCCCTGCTGTCTCCCACTGTCTCCCATCATGCCCCCCTGTCTCCCGCTGTCCCCCACTATCCCCCGCCGTGCCCCGGCCCATGCTGCTGACCTTGGCTGCAGGGAGCCTGCTCTCCTGTGTGCAGGCCCCACGCTGTGGCCCTGTGTACGCGCCAGGCTCTGCTTGCCCCATCTCCCCTCCCCAAATTCCTAGGACACCGTGTGGCTTGGGGTCGGGCTCCCCGCAGCCCAGGGCAGACGGGAAAGCCTTAGTGATCACTCAGCAGGGGCTTGTCCCTGGGCACTGGGGACTTCAGAAGGAGCTTTCGGTCAGTTCAAGTTTTGAGCGCTGACCCCACTAAGCTTCGTGTAATGGAGAAAGCAGATGAGTCCAGCTCTTTGGAAGCCAGATTGACTCGCAGGGCGGCCCCTCGGTGCGACCCTCCGCCAGCTGACTCAGCCGTGGGAGCCGGGGTCGCCGGGTCCCAGCCGGGGGCGGTCCTGGGTCTCACACACGTCGCCTTCCCCTCTTGTCTCGGACAGTTTCCTTACGCTGCGCCCCCTCCCCAAGAGCCTGTGAAGACGCTGAGAAGCCTGGTCAACATCCGGAAGGACACACTGCGGCTCGTCAGGTGAGACCCCCGCCCCCCGCTCCCCACCCCCTACCCCCTGCCCCCTGCCCCCTGCCCCCCGCCCCCGGGTTCTCTCCCAGCCGCTTCCGCCCGACACAGAGGCGCGTGGCCCAGGGTGGCCCAGGCAGGCAGCACCGGGGTCTGCTCAGGCCGCGGTCAGAGTCCAGCCACAGTCTATGCCAGCGCGTGGGATTGCTTTCAAAGGAGGAATGACCGCAGGAGGGGGAAGTGTGCCGACTCCCGCAGCACGTGGGACGCGTGACCCTGGGACGGGCGCTCGACTCCCGCAGCACGTGGGACGCGTGACCCTGGGACGGGCCCTCGACTCCCGCAGCATGTGGGACGCGTGACCCTGCGACGGGCGCTCGACTCCCGCAGCACGTGGGACGCGTGACCCTGGGACAGCTTGCGCTCTGCTGCTTGCATTGCTATTCCCGACCGCGACAGCTTGCGCTCTGCTGCTTGCATTGCTATTCCCGACCGCACGTGCCTTCCCCTGATGAGGGAGCGCCCTGGGCCGTCGGGGCGCATCAGAGGCCGGGCTTCTCTGAGCGGACAAGGATGGCTGAGAGGCCGTTTTGTGCTTGTGTGGCCAGCACTAGGAGGTGCCTATCTGACGATTTTCTAACAGAGCTTTCCTGAGATGTCCACCCCGCTGCAGTGGACAGTCAGCGCTGTCTAGTTTTAGAACGTGCTCGCCACTCCAGAGACCCCACGCCCGTCGGGGGCCGTTCTCCGTCTCCCCACACACCCAGCCCCGAGTAACGCCTGCTCCGTTCGCTGTCTCGCAGTCTTAGGAATTTTCATTTGTCCCGGAAGCCTTCTCCTGTTTCCCAGCTACACTGCTCCCTGGCCCTGGTCAGCCCTGGGCACGAGGGAGCCAAGGACACTGGTGCAGAGGCCGCCCCACACGGGCCCCGCAGGGCAGGGCAGCCTGGGCCTCCCATCCACCGAGCCTGCCAGCTGTCAGCTCCTCCGTCCTCCTGGTCCCCTCCGGCCAGAGGCGTGTGCACACATTTGAGTGGCCAGGGCCAGGGCCAGGGCCAGGGCCGCTGTGGGGCCCCAGCCCCCGCCGTGGAGAAGCACGGGGCAGCGTGAGGCGCTCGGAGGAGGAGCCCCACCAGCACCAGGCTCCCGGTCTCTGAGCCTCAGGCCTCTCCCTCAGGCCGGGAGCTGCCCTTCCTTTTCCCTCGGTGGTCCCCAGGCACCGGGCGAGAGGTGCTGTCACCGTGTGTCTGAGATTACTGGGACAAATCCCCGTTCTCAGATTGCCAGGTAAAGCAGGAGGGTCGAACCTCTACTTTTGCTTTTGAATAACAAAGAAAAGGTGCTTTTAAAAGGCTCCACCGGAACGGGGAGAGTGGGAAAGGCGCACAGCAGTAAATGGTAGAGGACTCAGTGGGCCCAGGACGTGGGAACCCTGAGCTAACGGAAGCGAGAGCTGAGACCCCCACCCCGTGCTCACGTGACCAGGTGTCACTGGCAGTCTGGGCGGGAGCCTGCCGGGCAGGTGACTCACGGAGCGGTAAAAACCCAGCACCCCTGCCCTGGCAGAACCGAGCTCAGCTCGGGGCCAGGCCTGCCACTGAGGGTGGGGCACGGTGGGTTCAGCCAGCGCTGGATCTGCCTGGCGCCCTCTTCCCACTCTGCCCCAGCGTGTCGGAGGCCTGGCCCTGTCCAGGGAGAGGAGCAGTGTTTTCTGGGAAGTGGCCCTCCCTGGATGGGGACGCGGGAGCTGGAACTGCAGCTTCAACGGACGCACGCCGGGCACAGCAACGCCAGGATCCCCAGACCCTGCTGCGCACTCGGAGCCCCGAGTTCTAGATTTCTTTTTTCTTTTTCTTTTTTTTTTTTTTTTTTTTTTTGACAGGCAGAGTGGACAGTGAGAGAGAGAGACAGAGAGAGAAAGGTCTTCCTTTTGCCGTTGGTTCACCCTCCAATGGCCGCCGCTGCAGCCGGGCGCACCGCGCTGATCCGATGGCAGGAGCCAGGATCCAGGTGCTTTTCCTGGTCTCCCATGGGGTGCAGGGCCCAAGCACCTGGGCCATCCTCCACTGCACTCCCTGGCCACAGCAGAGGGCTGGCCTGGAAGAGGGGCAACCGGGACAGAATCCGGCGCCCCAACCGGGACTAGAACCCGGTGTGCCGGCGCCGCAAGGTGGAGGATTAGCCTAGTGAGCCACGGCGCCGGCCCGAGTTCTAGATTTCTCACACGGGAGCACACAACCAGAGACCCCGGATGCATAAGGAGCGACCGTGACAGGAAAGACTGGTGGAGCACACCAGCAAGACAGACCGCTCCCCGGAGCGCACCTGCGGGAAGAAGCTTCGACAGCCTCCAGACGCGGGAGGAGTCTCTTTCTACCTCACAGACACAGCGACACACGCATTCATGAAACAAAAAAGGGCCGACAGAAACGTGGGCCGAAGAGCTGGAATGTAGGGAGCGGAGCGGAGAGGAGAGAGGCGGAGACAGAGGGCGGCCGGCTGCAGAGGTGTGCGCTACAGCCACCTTCCAGGGAGCAGCGGGGACGGGAGGAAGGCGGTCACAGAGGCATCCGGGTCTCCCAGCGGGAAGGGCCGGGGGCCACAGAGGAGACCCCCACCTGCAGTCTGTGCTCAGCCAGGCTCTCAGCCAAGTGCGGGTCAGAGGAACCCCCAGACGCCCGTTCCCCAGCACGGCCTCTTTCAGGAAGCTGCCGGCAGATGGACTCCACCAGAGTGGGAGAGCGGCCCAAGCCAGAGGGAGACAGGAGGCCCAGGAAGCAGGGGCTCCTACAGGGCGGGGCACCCCTCTGGGGGCGGGGTTTGGGAGAGGCCCTGGGTGGTCTCTGGGGGCCAGGGCCAGACAGGACCTCCTCAGGAAGACAATGAATGCAGCCGCTGCATCCAGTCTCCCGAGAGATTCAGCCAGCAAGGAGTTCAGGTCAGACTCTGTGACTGCCAGTAAAACTAAGCAATTAAGAAAAACGATACTGGGGCCGGCGCTGTGGCAGAGTGGATTAAAGCCCTGGCCTGTAGTGCCGGCATCCCATATGGGCGCCGGTTCAAGTCCCGGCTGCTCCACTTCCAGTCCAGCTCTTTACTGTGGCCTGGGAAAGCAGTAGAAGATGGCCCACGTGCTTGGGCCCCTGCACCCACGTGGGAGACTCGCAAGAAGCTCCTGGCTCCTGGCGTTAGATCAGCGCAGCTCCGACCATTACAGCCATCTGGGGAGTGAACCAGCGGATAGAAGAACTCTGTCTGCCTCTCCTCTCTCTTTGTAATTCTGACTTTCAAATAAATAAATAAATAAATCTTTAAACAAAAAAAAAAAAAAAAAGGAAAGGAAAGAGAAAAACGATACTAGGGGCCAGTGCTGTGGCGCACCAGGTTAAAGCCCTGGCCTACAGTGCCAACATCCTGTATGGGCACCGGTTCGAGTCCTGACTGCTCCACTTCCAATCCCGCTCCCTGCTGATGTACCTGGGAAAGCAGTAGAAGATGGCCCAAGGACTTGGAGCCCTGCACCTATGTGGGAGACCCGGAAGAAGCTCCTGGCTCCTAGGTTCTGATTGGCTCAGCTCCGGCCATTGCGGCCACTGGGGAGTGAACCAGAGGATGGAAGACCTCTCACTCTGTCTCTACCTTTCTCTGTCGCTTTTTCAAATAAACAAAATAAATCTTTAAAAAGGAAGAGAGGCCGGTGCCGTGGCTCACTAGGCTAATCCTCCGCCTTGCGGCGCCAGCACACCAGGTTCTAGTTCCGGTCGGGGCACCGGATTCTGTCCCGGTTGCTCCTCTTCCAGGCCAGCTCTCTGCTGTGGCCCGGGAGTGCAGTGGAGGATGGCCCAAGTCCTTGGGCCCTGCACCCCATGGGAGACCAGGAGAAGCACCTGGCTCCTGCCATCGGATCAGCGCGATGCGCCGGCTGCAGCGCGCCGGCTGAGACAGCCATTGGAGGGTGAAGCAACGGCAAAAGA